GGTTTGGTTTGGAAGGGACCTTTAAAGCTCATCCCCGGGCAGGGACACCTTCCTCCAGCCCAGGCTGCTCCAGCCTGGCTTTGAGCACTGCCAGCGATGAGATATTGAGTATCTCAAGGATACTGCTGAGAATTAGGGCTGGCAGGGCTGTGTGGGGAATTTTGGCTTTGCTTTTCCTCCTCTGGGTTACCTGGTGGGAGGGTGCAGGGGGATCAGCCCTGTGCTGGGTTTGCAGCACCAATTTGGGACAGATTTGGTGCCTTTCCCTGGTTCCTCCAGCCCCTTGGCTTTGCAGCTCAGCCTGGGGTGCCCTGGAAGGAGTTAATTCGTGCTTGAAAATTTCAAAGTCCCCGAGCACGATGAGAGCAAGCGACAAACCCGAGCCCAGCAGTTTTTTAAAGGGCAAACAAAATGTTCCTTTTTTTTTTTTTTTACTGCGAGGCGCTTGGTGCAAAGTGCAGGCAGAGCAGGGCAGCGTGGCTTTAGGGGAAGGCTCCCAAAAGCACTTCTTATTTAAATTTAATAGGATGGTTACTGTACGTTTATCTAAACTGCAGTTAAATATTAACAGAAGCTCTAGCAGGGATTAATGGGGTCTCCTGCGTTGTTTTTAAACACCGTGAAGAGGGTGCTGGTTGTCCCTGCTTGAGAGGGCTGAGCGCCCATGAGGATGCTGCTTGCATTCCAAAATCTGCCCTAGAAACAGCCCTGAACAGGAGATTTCTCCAGCTGGGAGTGGGAATTCCTTTGGGGCGAGAAGGGCTCAAAAAGGCTCCGGCCAAGTAAGGCTCGCAATCATTGTTCTTTAATTGGGGCCACAATTAACGAGGGGATAAATGAGCGGAGCTGGAGCCTTTGTGGCTCCGGTGAATGGCTGGAGACACGGAGGGCTCTGCGGTTATTCAGGAAAAACTCTCCCGGACTCGTGTGTCATTCACCTGACTAATGCCAAGGAAATTAAGCACTTTTTGTGCACCTCGGAGCTTATTGGAGAATAATGTGGTATGCGATAGCACGGCTGGCGTTATAAAATCGTGTTTTCATTTGGAAAGAACGAGAATGTCTCGAGCATAAATTATGTTTCTGATCATATTTGGCCATTTCAGATTAAAAATAAATTTCCACTTTGGGGCTATAGATTGCCATCTATCAACTCCCTGAAAAGGGAAAAAAGGAATTAAAAGGAAAATCTGGCTGTACGAATTGCCTTGCTATGACCTACTTATTGAAAGTAGTTTTTTGTTCTCCAGGAATGAAATCCACTTGTGTGGGGAGGTGTAGGATTGTATGGATATAGGTTTGCAGGCAGGTCTGTAGGATGGGAGGATCTTTAACTTGGACCTGCAAGCAGCTACAATAAAATTAAACATAGATCCGAGCTGGGTATTTCGGAGGAAGCAGGAAAAAATGCAGCAATGTCGTTGTTTCCCTTGATAGAGGAACTTGAACTGCAAATTTGCATCTGATTATCGGCCTCTGGGACCACTCAGATCTGCAGATTAGCTGCTTAAGGCTTGGTTTTGTGTGAAAAGCCCGAGACTGGGGCGGTGTTTGCCGGGAGGGTCCTTGCAGGAGGAGTCGGGGTCCCTTGCAGCAATCCCAATGCCATCATTCTTCCCCGTGGGACACTTTTTGGGACTGATTTGCTCCCTGCTGTGCCTCTGAATCTCGTCCTCCCCAGCTACCGATAGAAACGCTCCTCTGGGAAACAAACCCACAGGTTCTTGCTGCTTCTAACCCCTTCTTCATCCAGGCTTTCAGCATCCTCCCCTGCGGCTGCCATCTCCCACGGGGGCAGATCCTTCCCCGGCTCCGTCCTTCCCTCTCGCTGCAGCCCCTGCTGCTTGTGCTGCCCTGTTTGTGGTCTCTGCCAGGAGAGGGGGGCCTTTAGCCTTGCTGGGAAGGAGAGCGGTGAGATGGAAATGAAGATACACCTCGAGTGTGCTGCGCTCGCCTCGTTCTGCTTGTCTCCCGCCTGTTGCTCGCCATGAGGAAAAAAAGGACTTTCACCTAAGTGGGAAGAAAGGGAAGAAGTTGAAAGCGAGAGGCTGTTTGGTGCTCAGATGGGCTCAGCCCCTGTGCAGCAAACTCTGCTGCTGCTGTGGTCAAAACCCAGTGAAGGAAAAAAGACTCTCTCATCCCCAGAGGAGGCTACAAAGCTCTCTTTCTCTCGCTGCTGAACCTGCACAGCTGGACTCGGTTGCTGGCTCCACTGCCGCTGGAGCAACTGAATTATTTAAAGGAACCTTGATTTGGTTTTCTCTTTGCTGTTTTCCCGCGTTGTGTTTATTGTCTATAGATATTTTTGTAGTCCGAAGCAATTACAGCTGTCAGAAAAGAGACGAGCTGTGACAGGCTGATTTATATGTACATTGTATGTATGCAAGAGAGGGAGGGAGACCAGGGATTCTGCCGGGCTTTAGTATGCAGGAGCATATTGGATGTAAATTCCTTGGGATTTTCAAACAATGCTGCTGATGATCTCCTAACAGTGGGCCAAATTCAGCCTGGCAAGGGCTGAAACAGCTCTGCAGGTCACATCTGCCCCAGCCCCGTGTGTTTTCAGTGCTGGGAGGTGTTTTTTGTGCTCGTAATTTAAGATGCTCCTGGCGATCCGGGGCTGAATTCCGTGTGAAAAGGTTAACTGGCTGTGGTTATTGGAATCCCTCTGCTTTTGCTGACACAGGAGTTGGTCTCTGCCCGTTCAAAGGAGCGGCCCCACAAAGAACCAGCTCTTGTGTGGTGGCCCTGCAGGTATCGCAGCGGGGTCCCCATCCTGCCAGGGGTGTCTGGATGCCGCAGCAATCAGCAGGATTGGTGTGTTTTATTCTTGGCTGCGTTGTACACCCCGGTGCAATGACACAACCCCGGACAGAGCCTTTCCCCCAGCCTCTGACGGTCTCTCCTTACGCAGTGAGGTTTCAGAGACGCCTCCCATGTAATTTGTGGCCCCAAAGGATCCGCTGAATGCAGAGTTCCCCCCCTCTCCTGCCAGTTCTGACAGCCGAGTTCACTGCAGGGATTAAAGTCCTTCTGCCAAGAGCTGGGGAAAGCTGCCGTTTCCTCTGGGAAAACACAGGGCTCGAGGCAGCACGTCCCACCAGCGCTAAATTCAAGGAGCAGAGAACCTTCAGACAAGGAAAAAGTAGCGAGACTTTCAGAGCAATCCCCTTCTCGTATGACCAGTCAGCATGCACAATAATAATAAAGCTTTATTTGATGGAGTGTTTCCTCTGCCCGGCACAGCTCATAATGTTTTAGAGATTAAATAGCACAGTTAGTGAATTAAGCAGTAGTTTACAGGGGATTCGGAGACTCCAGGGATTAGTAACGGGCTATGGATCCTTTCACATCTAGGTCACCAGTTTGAATCCAGCTCAGGTTGCCAGCAGCGAACTCAAAAACAACAACAAAAAAACCCACCCCGTGTTGGTGCCGTGCAAAAGCTGCCGAGCACACGGTGGGGGAATGGAGGGAGGATTTTTGGATAAGGCAAAGCGGGGAATCATTGGGCACAACAAGGGGGGGGAGACCTGCTTTTCCCTAAGGCTGGGCTGCGGCAGCTGAGGGGTTTGAGGGGTGCAGCCCCCCAAAAGCTGTGATCTGACTGCTGCCTCCAGGACTCTCTGCTCTGAGGATACTCCCCGGCACCTTTTTACCAGCATGGATCTGTGCCTGGAAATATTAATGTGTTTAGCCACTAGCGGAGGGAAGGAGGAATTACCCGGCATAAGCAAATGTGATATTTGTTAAATTATGAGCTGATAAAAAGTACGCGGGGACCGTGCTTGTGGCTGGGGAGGAATTTGCCACTTAAGCTCCCGCTGTGTCTGTGAGGTGCAGGGCACCAGGAGGACACGCTCCTGCCTCTCCTCATCATCACCTGGCTGGGGGGGGAAGCGGGGGGAATATTACCCGTGCCTCAGTTTCCCCTCCTGCACGGCGACTTTGCCGCCTGGCTTGGGGAAGGTGCAGAGGTAGAGGAGGGCAAAAGGGGAAGAGTTGTGCTGCGCTGGCTGCGGGACGCAGGTAAGCGCAGGGGAGAGAGGAGAAAGGAGAGGGGGGGGGGTCTCGTTATTCCCCCCCCGAAGAGCGCGGCGCGGCAGGGGTTAATGTGCGTGTCCTCCTGCGCATCCCGCCCCGCTGCCGCCCGCCCGCCCGCCCGTGTGCGGGGCTCGGGCCGTGCGGGAGCCGAGGCGCCGGGCAGCGCTGGAGCCGCTGCCATGACAACCCCGGGGATGCTGCCGGCCGGGGCCGGGGTGCTGCCGCCGCCGCCCCCCCGCGCCCCCCCCGCCCGCCGCTGAGGCCAGCCAGGGGCTCCGGCAGCCTGACATCCCCGCATTCTGCATCCCACCGTCCGCTCATCCCCATCCTGCATCCCGGCATCCTGGACCAGCCCCCCGGCAGCGGGGCGGGAGGAGAGGAGCTGCAGGGCATCCCGAAGGCTTTTGCCGGCTGTGCCTTCTTGCGCCTGGACACCTTTGCTAGCTCGCCTCGGGGGTGTTTTTTGGGGTTTTTACTGGTTTTTGGACTGCCCCCGCCTCGGGACAAGCGTGCGGGAGTGGGGTACAGCCGGGCCCCCCCGGCACCTCCTCGCCCAAGTGAGCCTCGGACTGCTGCCCGAAGAACCGGCTCGCCCAGCACCTTTGCCACTTCTCCTCCTCCTCTTCCTCCTCCTCCCCCCGGCCCTCCCGTCCTCCTCCCTCGCCCGAGGACAGCGGGACTCCCTCCGATGCCGCTCGGCAGGCTCAGCGCTCGCAGCCAGCCTTGCCGGGGGCTCTCCTGATCTCCGTGGAGCTCCGCAGCGCTCGCCCCGGTGGTTTTGCTCCCCCCCATCCCTCCTCTCCACCCACCCCTTCCCCCTTTTCGCCTTGTCGGGTGTGTTTTTTGCCTGTTGGAAAAGTCCCCGCTGCCCAGGATGGGGGTCGGTGGGTGCTTGGCCCTGCCCTGGAGGTGCCTGGTCGTCCTCTGTCTCAGGCTGCTCTTCCTTGTGCCCGCAGGAGTGCCCGTGCGCAGCGGAGATGCCACCTTCCCCAAAGCCATGGACAACGTGACAGTGCGGCAAGGGGAGAGCGCCACGCTCAGGTAGGAGCAGCTGGACGGGGGCTTTGGGGGGACCGGGGGGGGTCCTGCTTGCGTGGTGACTTCGGGGACGTGACTCAGTTTCCCCGCGGGGGATGCGCCGTGCCGGTTGGCGGTACAGGATGGTACCGGGCAGCGAGCGGAGAGATTGGAGTGCCAGGGGGACTGGGCTTGGGTTCAGCCCTCCCGGTTGTCTTTGGGAAAGTTGATGGGGGATGAAAAATAAGGGAATGTGATTCCCTTTTGGCGCCCTGCCCCACAGCAGTACAGAATATCGGTACCATGGCTCGGGCACTTTTGGCTGCGTTCGGTGCAGATAAATCCTGCTCTGCTCCTGGAGTGCAGTGCCCGGGGTGTCTTCATCCATGTCAGACCCAGCCTGGGGAAAGAGGGAGTTGTTGACCCCCTGGTGTGGCTTTGTGCTTTTTTCTCATGTCCAGACCTGCTGGAATAGGGAAGTGTAGGACAGAGCTGGCTCCGGACAGGTGGATGCTCCACTCCTTTAAAATCCTCTCGCTCCAGAGGCAAGGGGTTGCTGCTCCCTGGCAGCATTGCCTCCCTGGGAAGGGGAGAGATGGGGGCTGGGCGTTGCACCAGGGTCCTGTCTCCTGCAGCAGCGATCCGAGGGGTTCCGGGGCCGCCAAGGAATCCGTAATTTTACTCAGCGCAATTTCTGGGACATCTTATGCCCCGACACTCCTCCCTGTCCTCACAGCAGATGGGCGCAGTCATCCCAGAGGATGTTTGATGGGGACATTAAAAATCAAAAGCCAGGTTTTAATTGCAGCTCTGGGAAGCGGCGCTTGCAACTCCGGCATGCTCGGGAGCGACTTTGCTCCTCCGGAGCGGTGCATAGGTGACACCAACATCTGCGGGGCCAGCTGGGTGTGTGCCGTGACACCGCACTCCTGCTTTATGCCAGCCACTGGAGAGGGGCCAAGCCAGGGCAGGAAAAAAAGCCCCGGGAGGAATTTCAGCAGGAATTTTCCTGCAACTCAGTTGTTCCCAGCCAAATCTTGTGTCCCCCCACGGCCCCTGAGTGCTCCTGGGAGGGTGGGAGCTGTGTTGTGGCCATTCCTCTGGATTTGTCTTGCGTCATGGCACGACTGGGCAAAGAGGCTGGCAAACGGGTGGCAGAGGCTGGAGGACAGAGTGTCTTCTTTAGGAATTTGAGCTTGGCTTAAGAAAGTAGTAGCTCCTTTTCTTTCCTGAACCGCTGTGTTCTCCCAAATGCCAAAAATCCTACAGATCTCGCTGTCCAAGAGGGAGAGGTTTGGGTTACTGGGGGTCTGGGTGGTGAAACTCACAGGGGGTGGCAGCAGCTGGGTGGGTGCTCAGCAAACTCATGAGAAGAGGCTCTGGTGAGGGCCCACACAGGGTTTTGGGTGTAGATCCTGATCCACACCACGGATGGAGGTGCTCTGCCCTGGCACTGGGTGGTCGCTGGTGTTGGAGAACAAAGGGAAGCTTGGGTGAGTCAGCAGGAGGGATTCTTCTGTCAGGGAGGCTTCATGGGAAGGGGACAAATCCTGTCCCTTGGAGATGACTCTGGTGGGGAAGGACAGCACTGTGTCACCATCACGGGGCTGCCATAGGTGCATCCCTGTAGAGCTGGGAACTGGGCTGGTGGCAAGGGATGTCCATGTCCCTTGGCAGGTGCCTGGTCAATACAGGCATGCCCCAGGAGAGGGGCCCGTGGGCTTTGGGATGTGCAGCCTGTGCGAGTGCTGTTCCCACTGTGCCAATGACATTCCTGCTGTCCCACCCCTGGAGCGGGAATTGCTCTTGGAAATTCATGGCTTGCTGCCACGGCCGGTGCTCTGCTGTGGTGACAGGGAGGTGCAGGAATGTGGTTTTGCCTGGGCGTTTGGAGGTGTTTTCCTGCTGGTTTGAGGTGGGAGCAGTTGGCCCAGCAGGCAGTGGGACATGGCTGCATCCCTGGGTCAGTCCCAGCTGTGCTGTGCCGTGGCAGGAGCCGGAAAGAGCAGGGAATGTGCAAACCAGAGGAAATCAAGGAAGCATGAATCTTCCTGCCTGCTCCCCTCCCAGCCCGGCGTGCCCATCGATCTGTTGTGGAGGAGTTAACTTGTGCAGAATAGCAATGCTGCTACAAAGGCTCTGGCAGACCCCAGTGATGTTCCTGACCACCTCCTGCCTGGCCCTGCATTGGTGGCAGTCAGGGAAGGGGAAAAAAATTCAGGTCAAATCCAATCCCACTCATTTCCATGCAAGGTGGGAGGATGGGGAGCTGCAGCCAAGGATTCGGAAGGAGAGATGTTTCTAGAGGTCCCTTCTTGGTGTTTCACAGATGTCAAAAGGGAAGAGCAAGCTGAAAACTCAGCAGCAGAAGTTGCTGTTTCTCTGGAGCACTTGGAAAGTCCTGTCCCTCGCTCTTCCCAAGGAAGAGGCTTTGGCTCTTGGAAATAGGATTTTTTTTATCAGGGTGGCGGGTGCTGAGGAGCCTGAGCCACTGTCGAGCAGCAGTGCCCTGCCAAGAGGCTCTTTTCAGCTCTGTCCCTCCAAGCAGAGTGAATTCAGTGCTGGGAAAAAAGCTGGACTGAAAGCTGCAAGGAGACTTCTCTGTTGTAAAGGCTCTGCTCCGTTCAATCCACTGTAGGGAATTGGTTTAGGACCAGAGACGTTGGAGATGTTCAGATATTTCCTCCTATCTCCTGATGATTCTGCTGGAGGGTACAGGCATGTCGTGGGTACCAGCACTTTAGATCACTGTATTAAATTTAAATCAAGCTTTAGATGTTGGGTCAGAGCTGCTGCCTGGGATAGGAGGGGTAGGATTTACTCCTGGATGCTGCAAAACCTGTGGGAATCAGGAAAGGGTTTGAGGGTGTTGTGTTCAACAGGACGGTGTTTTTACTGCTGGGTGTGTTGGTCCTGCCTTTGGGGTTACACTGAGGACTTGTGTGCAGGTGAAGGTCAGAGTCTTCTGTCCTTCCTTGTGTCCCCAAGCACAGATTGTGAGGATGAGGCTGATCTTCATCCCCTCCCACCATGTCCAGACAGCTCTGCCCTCACCAGTAGTGAGCAGTTCATGCTGGAGAGGACCCATCCTGAACTTCCATGCAGTGTTTGAACCGAGTCCAGGCATTGCTGAGACCTTTGGAGCAGCTCTCTCGGCACCAAAACAAATGGCTTGATTATGATTTCACTTTAATTGGCATCAGTCAGCGCTTTCCATGGCGAGGCTCTGACGTTCCCATCAGCAGCACAGGCGCCTGCATGGTGTCCCCCCGAACCCGCCTGTGCTCCTCTCTCCATCTCCTCTGGTTTTCTTGGCAGGGTGATGCAATGCCTTCATTTGTTCCCCTCTTTGATTCCAACACTAAAAGTCAAATCTGAGTTAAACATGAGGCAAAGCTTTTTTTAACCCTGATGTTTCCCGTGGTTTCCACTCAGGCTTTGAAAAGGGCTGTGAGCTTTGCCACTGAGCTCTGTCATTCTTTACCTAAGCCTGTTTTGCAAATTTATTTGGCCCCTGTTGTGCTCTTGAAATAATTTTGGAGAAATGATGACTTGGCTGTGAAACAAAACAAAATCAAGCATGTTTGTTTGATGGGTGCAAACAGTAAGTGCTTGTTTGCTAAGCAGAAAAGACTATTTTTCAGAGATGGGTCTGTTTTCTATGACTCTTTGCTGCCCCATCTTTTCCCCTTTATTCACAGGAATTTGCCTTGCTGTGTTTTTATTGTGTAATAGAAAAATAAGAATGAAAAATAAGAATACCAGTGGGTAGATGTGGTGTGTTCCAGCACCCAGGTCCTGGGGAGCCTCCGTGTCTCCCCCAGTGCTGCTCCTGCCAGGGTTTGAGTGAGGGTGATTCTCCCTGAGGTTTTGGGCAGCTGCCTTTGTGGTTTGCCGTCAATGAGTGCAGAAATCCTGCGGGGGGAGGAGGGCAGGGGAACCCATTCCAGGCTGTCTGTGCCTGGGAAAGCCTGGGCTGAGTCAGGGGGGTTCAGGGGGGCTCAAAGAGCAGCAGCAGTGGGCTGGGCTCCTGGTGTGAGTAACAAAAGCCAGGCAGGGCAGAGGATGATGATGATGAAAGGGGCCAGCCCTGATTGCTAAACCTCCTCTGGTGGCTGCCCATCTCTGTGTCCATTTTGCTCCAGGCTCCCACTCCCACTGTGAGCTGCAGTAACCCCACTGAGGGAGTTTTGCTTGTGCACCCTGTCCCACCAGCTGAGAACACACCAAGTTCAGCATTCCCATCTCCTGCCCTGCCCAGCCAACTCCCCCCTTCCCACATTCCCACATGTGTGGTGCACAACCACCACATTCCTTATTTCCAGATCAGTGCTCATCTGTGTCTCCAGGGCTCAGACCAGTGGAAAACTCATCCCATTCCAATGGTCTCCAAGCCCAGTACTCGGTAGTTTTCATCCTGCTGCAGTTATTTATTTCAGAGACTCCTGACTGCTTGCCTGCCTACTTCCCAAGCCCTAAGTTGGGGATAAAGCTGGGGCTTGCAGAGGCCAAGGTGTAACACCTTTGCTTTTCTCAGTTCCTGAGCAGTAAAGGAATTCTGAGCACCTGGGATGGGCTGGGAGCAGCTTCCAGTCCTGTGGGGATGGGGTGAGGATGGAGCTAAGCTGCACACTCATGTCTTAATCCAAGTTAATTCCCCCAATTCTCCGCTATCCACCACCTTTGCCCTTCTCCTTCACACCTCTCCCCTTTTCATCTGAAGTTTAGGGAATAAATTCAGGGCTGTGGTGACCCCTCCTGTATTAAGGTAAGGAAGCAGCAGAGCATGTTCTCCTGCATCCCTCGTGGTGCCACTTCACCCCTGCCTCTCCTCTTCCCTTTGTTGCCAGGTTCTCCTTTCTGGTCAGGGTTTTGTCCCCACATTCCCGGGGATGCCCCGTGGGAGAGGCTGCAGGAGCCCCACGTGCAGGGCTTGTAGCTCACGAGCCGATTGCTTTGCTGGCGATGGCACGTTTCTGAAAGAGGAGTTTATTACTAAAGTGACATGTCAGCAAATCTCTGCC